GTCTATTCCAGTTAAAAGTTGAATATGCTTGTGAATTCTATGAGTTCTCAATTGTTTGCATAACAACCTGGAAGCAATGGTAGGCCCTTGTGCTGCCAGGTGGCAAGAAATTAAGATTGAACAAGTTCAGTCCATATGTGTTTGGATTTGCCACTAACCTTGTCTTGTGATTATGGTTATGACAAATTCACATGGATAGGAACACTTACACCATAAAAATCTAAGTGTCATAAGGTTTCTCTTCGATTCATGAAAATGATGATGAGGAAACGCTTTCACTAAATGGATTTTAAGTAGATAGCAGTTGTGATATTTGCATTCTCATGTCGTTAGTGGAGCGTGTGTGGTTAACCGGCACACTAACTAGTGAGAATGGCAAAAGGTCTACGCAAACATGTGAGCTATCTAAGGAAAGGTGTATGATTTTAATAAAGTCTTATCAAAGCATCTTGTATCAGGAATCTGAACTTTGGTAAGAAAGTCAATAAAGTATTGTTTTTTCTAGAAGTCCAGCTGATTTCTGAGTACATGTCAAAGCTAGTGGGAGCATAAGTGTTATGCTAGTAAGATAATAATCATTATGCTAGTGGGAGCATGATGATTATGTTGCAAGTTAGCAATGTTAATTATAGAAAACAAAAGTTTCAATTCGCCTTGAAAAAGTTGTTTTGCTATAATTAAGGGAGAGGATTTTATACTTCATTCCAATTCTATAAGCTTAGATTGAGATTTTAATCTACTTTAGTCAAGGATATATAAGAATGTTATGTTGGAATGGTTCAACATAAGGAAATTCTATATATGTTGCGTTCTCAAAATTCGATTATGATTACGGCATACCTCTTCATAGTTCGAATTGTGAGAATATGGCAAATATAAAAAAATTTATAGCATGAATCGTGTCCTATATGCTTCGGGTATAGGTTCGATTACATGTGCTATAATCCATTCTAAATTTTCCTAAATGCCTAAGGCATTAAAATGGAAAAGGAATAGAACTGGAAATGACTAAAATGATTAAGCAAATTGTCGAGGACAATCTGAGGTTTACCAAAGATTGGTTGCTCATGGACAATTAGAAGTATAGAGTAAGGACCATATTGACATATTTTGGAAAAGAGGAAACTCTTGTTCAGAAGTGATGGTCAAAATGGTAATATGGAATTGTTTCCATAGGTGGAAGTTGTTCTTTGAATCTGTGTAAGATTAAAGAACTTAATACAAAGAAGGATGTTCAAAGGAATGTACTTTGAATTTGAGACTTCATTTCCATGGAATTGATCTCCATTGGAATTATTTGTAATGTCTATTGCCAAGTCTTTGTGACTTGTGTGCATAGTCATTACAAGGGGATCATTACATATAAGTTTAGAGTCTAACAGATTATAGTAAATGACAAGAGTTTGGTATTCTTACATTTACAAAAGGGATTGGGATTGTGAAATGAGCATCGTTGGAGTCGTGTTCAATTGATCTATTTCACAAAAGAAAATACCATAGGTAAACATAGTATGCATGCTTGGTGCATGGCATGACTATTGTTTCAATTCAAGTATTAAGTTGATAAATCGAAACAATGAATAATGAGTAATCAATATGGTGCTTAGATAAAAGGGTTTTTATTTACACTCAAAGTGTTGAGGCCATACAAGATTAGTATTATTTTTGTGTTTCACTTTGCATGTTTTGACTTCCAGAATAACTAGGTCATTCTTCCCGACTGACTAAGTTATTCAAACTCTCCACAGTCAGTCATACTTTGGAAGTAGGTATTGATTTAAGACTGTCATGAATTTGGCTTGTATGATCTATCTAATGTGCATTAGACATAGCAGTGGTTGTTGCAACATTCATGAGTACTCATAAGGCCTGAGTATTGGATTAAACCCATGCTCATTTGAATCACTTCATGGATTTTATACGAGTGAATCATGAGATGATAATATCTTATATTCTTCAAACCTAGAGATATGAGTTGTTGACTATGAGTTGGTTATACATTGATTGCACGAAAACGCATTGGTAACTCGATGTTATAAAACGTGCCTTTGTGTATGATTCAACAAGTAGTCAGTACAAGCATATGAGTCGAAGTTTATCCATTCCTTTTACCCTCAAAGGGATAAAAGCGATATCTGTGGGCCCCTCGATGATTTAGTGATGACAAAATGTAAGTGCTCGGCCGGGCCTGGACTGATTTGATTTGTTCAATTAGTCAGTCGTCATAAATCGGAAATCGGGAAACAACAAATGGACAGATAGAATGATTATAATCCATGTCTCAGTCCATATGATATCTAGAATGGAGGAATATATGATCACTTATCTAATGGATGCGTCATTGATTTGTTCAGAGTTCGGCAACAGCTTTTAAGAGCTACGATTGTTGGTCAGGTTATGAAGGCGTACTTGCAATAATAGTTATTAGACTTATCCAAGTGGGAGACTGTTGGATTAGTGTCTAAGTCCATAACTATAATTGGTATATTCTTGACCCGACCCGACATGGTCCATTTGGGTTGCATGGCATCATGCATTTGGATAGACTAAAATGAGAGAAATAACACTTAAGGTTTATTAATATATTATAAGTTCTAATATATTAATAAGATTATTTAATTAGTATTGATCAAGAATTAACTTAGAATTAATTAAGTGATCAAAAGAACACTAATTAAATATATGGGTTGATTGTCTAAATCATCCATACTTATATAGTGGGCTAATGCTCCATGGATTATCAAGTTGTGTTAAAACCCATAGGATGCTCCATGGTGTATTTGAACCCATGGATCCAAGGAAATGGAAAGCCATGACAATTAGGGTTTACCCTAATTGTGACTAACTATATAATGATCTTATTATTGAAGAAATCGGCCACTAGAGAAACAAGTGAGGGCAAACCGATTTTAGAAGTGTTCTACTTTCTCTCAAGTTATTCCAAGTGTTTATGATGTTGTGTGAACCATTTGAGGTGTCACACTTGGGGCATTAGGCTCTTGAGCTCCATGGAATCAAGCACCAAACAAGAGGTATGTAATTCAACTAGAATATATATTATGTGTGCTTTATATTATTCTAGTTAGAACAATACCTTGGAAAATTGATATTTGCATGTATAATAGAGAAAACATAGATCCAAGGTATTTAGGGTTGCATGTACACCATAGGAGTGTTAGAATGCTCAAGATCCAATAGTTCTAAGTACACCCATGTCAGTCTTACCAGAATCTGTTGAAGATGAACCTTTGGAGGCAACAAGAAGAAGATCAAAGTGGGAAAATGATGATTACATATGTTGTGGTCATATTCTCAATAGTATGTCTGACTCTCTTTTTGATATCTATCAAAATTTCAAATCTACAAAAGAACTGTGGGATTCTCTTGAATCCAAGTACATGGCTGAAGATGCTTCTAGTAAGAAGTTTCTTGTTAGTAACTTTATGGGTTACAAGATGATTGACTCCAGACCTGTTATGGAACAATTCCATGAAATGTTAAGGATTTTGGGACAGTTTGCTCAACACAATTTGAAAATGGATGAAGCCATTTCTGTGGTTGTGATCATTGACAAACTGCCCCTTTCCTGGAAGGATTTTAAACACAATCTGAAACATAACAAAGAGGAATTGACTTTGACTCAACTTGGAAGCCATTTAAGGATTGAAGAGTCCATGTGAACATGGTGGAAGGAGAAAGTTGGTTGCTCTTCTGTGAACATGGCAGAAGGAGAAAGTTCTAATAATCCCAAGAAGTCTAATGGAAAAAAGGAAGTTTAAAGGAAAGGATGACAAGTCTTCTAACAAGAAGAGGAATGACAGTTTTTTCAGAGAATTGACCATTGTTTGACCCTTATCCAAACTTCCGTTTTATGTCAGTTTTTATAGTTTTATGACAGTTTGAAACTGTCATATGACAGTTTTTTCAGACAAAGATCATAAAGTCGGTTTTGGTCTCATTTCTGGTACATACGAAACTATCATCAAAACATTCTAAGTTCTTGTCTCTCTGAGTCTTATCCGATTAAAGAATATTGGGAGTACCACCCAAATGCTTTAATCTGAAAGTGTTTAACACAATTCTCAGAATTCCAAGCCTTTCTATATCCCAATTTCTTACATTCGATTATGAAAGGTGTTTACAAAAAAGGATCTAGATCTAAATCTACATAATTAACACACACTAACACTCTCAATGTTACATCTCTCAAGCACACCTCTATATGTGGTATGAACCCACCTTATATAGAGGTGTTTACATCTCTCTCTCTCTATCTATCTATCTCTATCTCTATCTCTCATGTCACAAGGGGGAGTTTTGGATAGAAAAATTATGAATTGAGCGCTTTCTCATTCCTTTTTTGGTTTTATAATAATTTTTCGATTATAAAAAGGGAGAGAGATTTAGATATGGATATCTGAAAGTTGAATTTTTGTAAAACCAAAATCAGATTGGAAAATTGTGATTTTTTATTTTGGAAAATACCAAACCATTGGTTTTTTATTTCGGTTTCGGTTTTTCGGTTTTTCGTTTTTTTTAATATATTTTTCGGGGTTTTGTTTTTTTTATTTCATAGATTTATTCATCAACAAATGTTGCTACAATTTAACAAAAATAAATAATTTGCTAAAACATAATACAAGAGGAAGTTTGTTCACATTTAGTCATTGAACTTTTTTAGAAGGAAGCGAACTTTCGATTTTGTTCACATTTAGTTACTAAACTTTTTTTCATTATCTATTTGTCACCGAACTATTGAAATTGTTCCCATTTTACCCTTATGACCTGTAACAACCGGTCATAAGGGTAAAATGTGAACAGTTTCAATAGTTCAATGGCAAATAGATAACGAAAAAAAGTTTAGTGACTAAATGTGAAGAAAGTCGAAAGTCCGTTACCCTTTCAAGTCATTATCCCTTTTCTTATTATAGCATATTCACAACATTTAGAGGGACTCGTTTGTGTATTTGGCCATACAAAACATCCGAAAATTTATAAAGTGGATGAATTTATGACAAGTATTTTCTATTCCGCCATCCTAATTTCATTGACACGTTTAATTGGGACAACAATGGAAAAGAGAAAACTGAGAAGGGAACATATCTTCAGACAATGGAGGCCCCTTGTGCAGAATCTGAAGAAAAATGGTCGAAAGAGGATCGATTTGCTGCGGTTACAGAATGAAAGCAGGGAAGATTTGGCTAATATTGAACTGATGTAAGACTTCTTAATATGCGACAGGTAAAAAATTAGGGCTTTTTTTATGAAGATGCAAACTGCTTGAAATCGGGTGGAATACTTTCTCCTTATTCAATCCTGAGGTCATAATATTTCTTTATGTATGTGAAAAAATAAATCCCGAATATCTCTCTGAAAAATTTAAGTTCCCGCTAGTGTAATTCCATTTTCGGATTTCAAACATCCCGTTTGGTAATCTATGTTAATCAAAAACGTATTTATGGTTATTTCACTTGGAAGTTTTTATTTTTATTTTTTTGTAAATGAGTTTATTTGTAGTTTCTAAACTTTTTACAAGCAAGAATTAGAGACATAAGATGGAGTACACATTCTGGTTGTTGGAATTTCAAATGTTGAAAAATCGGCTTTTGCAAAATCCTTACATCAAATAGGCAGAATAGTGTTGCAGGTTATTCTTTTTTTTTTGGTTACACACACAATAGTGTGTTTTAAGGTGTATTTACAAAAAATGACCACAATATGTTTGATATTTGACAAATAGACCACTTTTTGATCATTAGCACATATGAGTACTTTACTAATAAACTTTAAGCCTTTAAAGACGGGGGTATTTTGGGAATTGGTTTTCAAGAATTCAAGTTAGAAGAATTGAGTATTAGGTGTATATGCATAATGCATTGCATGTTTAGTGAATCAGTGGTTTCTTTACTAATAAAGTTGGTTTCTTTACTAATAAAGTTAAAGGACAGGGGTATTTTGGGATTTTTTTTCAATAATTCAAGTTAGAATAACTCTATATTAGGTGTTTATGCATTGCATGTTAAATAAATCAATGGTTTCTTTACTAATAAAGTTTAAGGACGGGGTATTTTGAGATTTTTTTTTCAAGAATCCAAGTTAGAAGAACTTTGTATTATGTTTTGTTGTAAACTTGTAATGAATAATACTTTCAAGGAATCATTTGCTATTTTGCTCCTCCTAAAAGGAAATATGTCATTTGTTGATTGTAACATTTTAAATATTTGTTTTTCAAGAAAAATGGAAGTTAAAACATGCAATTGTGAGTCCACATCCAGGGGAGACAAAAAATATCACAAGTTTTAAGGTATAAGTTATAGGCTTAATCTAAAGTTTAATATTTATTTACCTATGTATTTATATAAAAATTTAATTTCAGATTGAAGCAATTCTAATATCTATATCTTGGACACCCCTGGGATTTTGCCTCCTGAGATTCTTTATGCTGAAATCTCATCTTTTTTTTATTGCAGTTATAAAATCCAAACCCCATAAAAAGTTTATTAAGTTTGGAGTTTCAAATACAATCGGCGTGTTTCTCTTTTGATTCTGATCAAAGTCTTCACCTGTGTGGGAGTTCAATCCATCAGGTTGGTGAATAATCAAATTCTAATATATATTTTTTTGTTTCTTTTTGTGTTATTATCTTTATGTTATGTCTAGAACACTAAAAAAAACATCATACGTTTGAATATTACACGGTTTTGAAAACTTACTATGATTGCTTTTAAAATATGCAAAAAAAAAACTACAAAATGTATTGCTATAAATAGAGTCCGGTTTTGACAATGCACTTTCAGAATTGTACATATCTTAAAACCATTCATTAGAATAAAAATTTTAAAGTACAATTTTATAATAGAAAAAATGAAATTAGGATTCTATAATACACAATACATATATATGTATGAAAGTGCATTGGTATTTATATATGCAGAAGCTATAGTTGACTCTCTGATTGACTAATCAATGCTATGAAGGTAAGATTTGGTGCTGCCATTTATCTACAAAAAAAGTAGAAAAAAGAAAATTTTATAAAATAGTTGACTTCATATCATATATACTAAATTGTAAATAAAAAACTATCATTATTTCTTTAAAACATAAAAGGATAATTATGACATTTTATATTTATGAAAGGACCAAATTGGCATTTGAGGAAAATAAATGAAAAATAAAGTTTCTGTTATAAAACTTTTAGAAGAGAAAAGTATGATGATACAATATGCTAATAAGAAAATAAATAATTTACATTGCCCTTTTTGACCTTTGAGTAAAAAAATAAAAAAAACAAATATTTTTGTTATAAAATCACGTAATTGAAAGTTATGATTATTAACCGGAAAAAGTAAACTTTTGGCCGAAAAATATAGCATAAAATGGTCAATGTAGCAGAAATATTGTAAGAAATATTATAAGAATCGGATTATAGAAAAAGGAGAAGAAAAAAGAAATAAAATAAAAAAACAGATAGTGATTTACATTGCAAAGTATAGTTGAGTTTCATACCATATACACTAAATTGTAAATAAAAAACTAAAGTTATTTCTTTAAAACATAAAAGGACAATAATGTCATTTTATATTTATGAAAGGACGAAATTGCCCTTTGAGTAAAATAAATGACAAATAAACTTTCTGTTGTAATGGTTATTAAATGGAAAAGTAAACTTTTGACACAAAAATATAACATAAAATGATCCCTATGGCAGAAATATTATAAGAATCGGATTGTAGAAGAAGGAGAAGAAGAAATAAATAAAATAAAATAAACATAATGAAAACTGTTAACTGATGATGCTTAAATTTGTTCATCCTTTTTTTCTTTTGTTTTTGATACAGAATATTGACAAAGTATACAAAGTCAACTGATGGGTTCTATTCATACATGTAATTCTCTTTTTACCCATTAAGTGATAAATGTGGTAAATGACAGAATGAAAACTGTTATATGATTATCACAATACACTTCGAGAGCATAACATAAACAAAATCAAACAACAGATAAAGCATGAATTTTAAGATAACGATACACTAACCTGATGATTTTGGTATTCTGTGAATTCTGCAAATGAAAGTGAAAGGTTGTTGAATGAATTTTAAGGTATTTGATGATATAAACGTATAACATATAGCCTATAAATCCGGAATCAATTTCAAATTTATATTTATATTGATTGATTATGTGCAGAAAAATAATTCGAAAAAAAAGGAAAATATATAGCTGATTTGTAGGGATTCGAATTCGAATGGATTGATGTATAACAGTTGCTGGTTTTATGGATTGATTGCATCTAATTTAAGATATTTATTATATTTAGGATATATTTTAGGATATAAGATAATAATTTTTGCATATTAAGTCAACCGATATCCTGATTTGTAGGAATGACTGTCAATGGATGCTGTGATTATATGGGCGGGAAAAGCACATGTGAGATTGACGGTAGAACAGCACGTGGCAGGATATAGTGTTAAAAAAAGGACACTTGGCATTTAAGAGAGTGTTTTATTAAGCATGGAGATGGAGATATTCATTAATTTTAACAAAATGATCATACCAACCACGAAATACACATTGCGACTCAAATGGTCCATACATATAAAAGTGCATTTGTCACTTTCAAGTGAACAACTTCCCTGAGGCCTTTTACGATTGTTAAAATAACAACTCTTGGAGTCATCAATGGTAGATGAAAGTAAAGATCCTTAATCCTTCTTATTTGAAAACATTTAATCGTCATCAACGGTTCAAGAACATATTAGGTAGTATATTTGGTGTTTTAGGATATTTTGTAACGATATAGTTGTTTTTTTGGGAGCTTCGTACCTCTATTAACAATGGCATAGCGGAAATCAACGTAAGATTTAAAGAATATTCATTTATGAATGAAGAACCTACTCGCAAGTTCTTAAATAGACTTGTGTGTTTTGAGTTTACTCGTATTATTTAATACATCACATACCGTAACACCCCTTTTTGGAGAAATTTTAAAATTTGTTAAAATAATAAATAAATAATAAAAGTACTAATAATAGAAGTAAGTTTAATGAACTGAAAATACAAATGTAGTCAAATGTTAGAAAAGAGAAGCCCACTTGAGCATTTTAGATAAACTTTTGCTTAACCTACTTAACATTTTGTAAGAAAAATAATTGGTCAAGGTTTAAAGGGTAATTACATAAGCTAGTTGGGTGTTAAGGCTGGCTTGTGGCTAAATGCGAAAAGGTGGGAACGGAGGTCCCTAAAGTAATAAGTGCACAAAATCATGAACATGAGCCCCAATATTCTATTCTCTCCCACATTTGAAGGATTTTGGAAAGAGTTTTGGAAGGATCTTGGAAGCAACCAAGGAGATTTGAGATAAAATGATAAGACTATACTAAAATCACCAATACAATTATAAAAATATATAAAATAAAAATAAAATTAATTTGAAGGAACATCTTAATATACTTATATTAATATCATTGTCACCTCATCGTCACATTTAAACTATATCATTATAAAAATGAGGTTTTTTTATGCACACCTCCAAATTCAAATTCTCCTTTCTTTACCCCCCCCCCCCCTCTCTCTCTTTCCTTTTGTCTTTTTTTTGTGTTTTTATGTTTTTTTTGTTGTTTTTTGTTTTTTAATATTTTTAATAAATACATAATATTATTTTTGACTATCCTTGTGTTTTTATTTATTTTTTGTTTTCATTATTTTTAATAAATACATATTATTATTATTATTATTATTATTATTATTATTATTATTAAAAATATAATTTTTTTTGTTCGGATTATTTTTGTGTTATTTTTATTTCCATTTAGACTAGCAGTGTGTTACTTTTTTCGTTATGACTATCTCTGTATTATTTTTCCATTTCAATTATCTTTGTGTTATTTTTTCCGTTCGGACTATTTATATATTATTTTTTTTCATTCAGGCTATCTTTGTTTAATTTTTTCATTAAGATTATCATTGTGATATTTTTCATTCAAACTATTAAAGAGACATCAAATTAAATCAAAATTTTAAAATAATAATAATAATAATAATAATAATAATGATAATAAAAGACAACAAAAAGACAAAAGACAAAACAAAAAACAACAAAAAAAAAAACAAAATATGTCTAATCAAAAAAGGTTTTAAAGATAATAAAATGATAAAAAATGGGGGTGCATGGAGAATTTTATGGATTATGGGGTACATATACAACACCCTTATAAAATGCTTCCCACTCAACATCACTATATCTATTTTATTTTATTTTATTATTTAAATAATAAAATTTAATTTTAATTTAACTAAAAGGCATAGAGAGAAAATAGAAGATTAGATGTTATCAATTGTGGTGGCGACCACATTCCACCACACCATAATGCACATGTGTGGTGTTCACTATCGTTGTGGCCTGCCACAAAGAGCCTTCATCGTATGTATTCCAGTTGGCCTAACTATATTGCCTCTCAAAATCTCATGGAATTCAACATATACTTGTGTAACATCCCGATGTCAAGACGATTTCAATTTCAACCCTATGTTTAAATAATATTGTATTTTAGCCCTTGGGATTGAAAGGGATTGCAAAATGGCCCATAATGGCAATATGAGAATTTTGTCCAGGTGTAGTACGTTGAGCGTACATTGTGTACGTTAGGCGTACTAGGGCGTGCTCTAGTACGTTGGGTGTACACCTCGTACGCGGGGCGTACGTGAAGAAAGTGTAAACCCTAATTTTTAGGTTTTGGTACGTATATGAACCCCATTATAGCCTCATGACTCATTTCTTCATCAGCCTCCTTGTGTAAAAAACGACCCCAAGCAAACCCTAAGTGGGAAGAAAGAATTTTGAGCCCGTTGGAGTGTTTTGGAGGTGTTCTTGAAGAAGAAAAAGAAGGGGGTGAGAAAAGCTTGGAGCTTGGAAGCATCTTGGATCGGAGATTTCCTTCTTGTTAACAACCTCCAAGAGGTATAAAGTTCACAACTTGATCACTCCATCTTGTAGATATATACATTTCTTCCTTTAAGACACTTTTTGTCCCAAATATGGTGATTCTAGAGCATGGCATGTTCTTGACTCAATAAGTCATCCTTTCAGACCTTAGGAGGAGTCTTAAGTCATAAAAATGTGGTCTTGATGGTTAGTTTTGCTCCATGCATGCTATAGAAGGTCTTAATGCATTAAGATGTTGAGATTTTGTGTTTTAAGCACTTAATGGACATGCAAAGCCATGAAGTTGGAAACTTTATGACTCTTGAGGGTATTTTGGCTTTGGATCTGTCTTTAGACGTGAAGATTTAGAGTATTAAGCTCTTAATGGGGAAATGGTTGAACAAGGTGTGTACGCTGGGCGTACCAAGTAGTACGTTGTGCGTACGCGGTCAGCGTCCCGTAAACTGGTTAAACACTGAGTACGCCCCGCGTAAAGAAGAGTACGCCCAATGTACTCGGCTGGGTCGACTCGGTCGGGTTGCTTGGTTGGGTTGACTCGGCTAGGTGTTGACTTGACTTATGACCGTTAACCAAGTTTGACCAAGGGTATTTTGGGGAAAGTATTATTAATGGATAATGTTTTGACATTTAGGATTTGGGATGAGCCGGTTTTTTGGGAGCAGAGTATTGATCAGCTATTCGTCAGATTGTGATGTAAGTTTTCCTCACTATACTTACGAGTCAAAGGCACGAAGGTCAGCCCATTGGATTGATATCCTGTTATACATTGATTTATGATATGTTGAGTATGGGATAGATTTGTATGATTATATGATAATTGCTGATATACGTAGACCGGTAGATCTGTAGGGCTACATGTGATTTATGGCTGCATTATTATCTGTCCGTTGATTATGTTTGTTATCTATTATATGTCAACATACTGTGTTGGGTTGAGACTTTACTGCTATGTGCGTGAGTCAACAGACCGGGTGTATTCCAGTCTGATGACTGAGTGGACCCAAGGGTATTCCAGTCCAATGACTGAGTGTGCTCGTTGTATATTGGTATTCCAGTTCGTTGACTAAGTGGACCTGTTGTATATTGGCATTCCAGTCCGACGACTGATTAGGCTATAGGGTAATCCAGCCACATGGTTGTGGACCCGTGGGTATTCCATTCCGATGACTGATTGGACCCAACATGCTTGTTCGTTTATGATATGTGTTTTGTGTGGTGGTACTTTGGGGGAAACTCATTAAGCGTTGGCTTACAGTTTTTAGCTATGGTTTCAGGTACTTCCGAGGATCGTGGAAAGACGAAGGTGTGATCGTACATATCCTGATTTTTATGTTGTTGATCTTGGGAGACTATGTCTTGAACAATGTTTGGAAAACCATGGTTTTGTAAACACTTTTATTAGTAAATGGGTTGATTTGAAAAGTTTAAAATGGTTGTGATTTTTGAGATGTTTCAAGTTGGTATCAGAGCCTTGGTTTAAGCGAATTGGAGGAACACCCATGTGAATCCAATATCAAACTAAGGAACTGCAAAGGTTTTAAAAATGATTTTCAAAATTGTTTTCAAAAATTATCAAGAAATGATGTGATGTGTACGATCAGTCGGAGCCAATAAGTAGACACCAAGTTACCATATTGTTATTTGATATTATGACATGTTAGAACAACATGCTAGTGATAGGCTAGGGATCTTTAAGAATTACATGATATAATTTCTTGATTATATGATGTCTGATAGCCTAGGGTTCTTGTAGCACCTGGTTCTTGCTATGTATTTTTATTTAAGTATTTTGCATTTTTGGCCTTGGACTCGGCGAGTTGAAGGACCAACTCGCCGAGTAGAAGCGGGATGAGACGCGGGATTTAAGTGATGGACTCGTCGAGTCGGGTCCCAGACTCGACGAGTAGGCTCTGTCTGGACAAAACCCTAATCTGAGGGTTTGCACCCTATTTAAACAACCTTATACAGCCTCCATCGCCCCTTTATGCTCCCAGAAACCCTCTATATCAAACCCTAAGTGTTTTGGTGCAAGATTCAAGGCTTTTGAGTGATTCTTGGTGGTTTTGTTCACAAGGAAGAAGGAAGAGCATAGAAGGATCAAGAGGAGGCTGAAGGATCCGAGTTTGGTTCATCATTTGCAGCCTTTGAGAGGTATAAAATCTGTACCTTGCTCTTTCATTTGATAGATCCCCTTTTTGGGGAGATTTAGGGCTTTTATAAGCCATTTTGGTAACCAACCATGATTGCAAACATGATTGGGGGTGGAGGCTTTGGAATCAGGTCTTTAAAGGGGGCACAAGGCAGATTTGGGTTGCTTTTGCACCCAAGGAAGTCCCCATGCAACACTAGAGCTTATTTTATGTCCTTTTGAGCTCAAAGTCCCATGCATGCACGTAAAGTTTGTAACTTTACGTGCTAGAACGATTAAAGGAGCTTAGATATATCTTTTGGTCAAGTGTTGTACATCAGAAATCGAGGATTTTGGGTGTGGACGTTATCGACTCGGCGAGTCTGTTCTTGGGACTCGACGAGTCCAAGGCTTTGAGTCCCATTTCTGTTGAGGGTCAAAAGGACTCAGTTGGGCGTTAGAAAGGTTGTAACAGTACAGAAAGAGTGACCTAACGCACTGGACTTAATTTTAGACCTGGAGTTCATAGGACTCAATGAGTGCTAGAACAGACTCGGCGAGTCCAAGGCAATCTCCTTATGTTTGAAGATGAACTTGACGAGTTGTTTATACAACTCGGCGAGTCAAGGTCAGGACGTGTTCATCAGTTGAAGGTGAACTCGACGAGTGTTCATACGACTCGGCGAGTCGGTTGAAGGTTCATTGATGTCGTAAGGAAGGGGAACTCGTCGAGTCATTGCCAAACTCGACGAGTCGAGTCGTGGATAAGGACGAGTAAAAGGAAGGGACTCGACGAGTTGACGGCCCAAATCGGCAAGTCGGGTCAACTG